TGTGTGTGTGTGTGTGTGTGTGTGTGTGTGTGTGTGTGTGTGTGTGTATTCCTCTGACTCTGTCTCTGACCCGGGCTGCTCAGCCCCTCCTCAGACAAACAGGTGGCCCCCTGCTTCCAAGAGCTCCCCATATGGGCGCCAAGCTCTGTGCAGACACCCAGCCAGCGGAGTGTCAGGAGATCTGTCAGCCTCAGCCTCCCTGGTAGCTGACATAATTGGCATGGACTGGCATGCTCAGCTAATTTTCATAATAATTCTAAAGAGTTTGATCTGACCACATGGGAAAATCCAAGTGGATAAAGAATGTGCATCATCCAGTCAGGCCCCCAGACTATGATATACGGCGGGATGGACAACCCCTCATAGGTAGATGTGCATCCCACTTTGAGCTTTTCAGGGTCCTTTCTTCCACATCTTTTATCTGTTCATATCTCCTTTATTTATTCATTCATTCATCCATTTATGTGTGCATGGCTTTCAGCACCCCTCAGGGAGGTGAGGGCTGATATCTTGTAGATGAGGAAATTGGGCCAGGAGAGATGAATTGAGAGAGTGGGAGCTCTGTGGAGCTGAAGCCCAGGGCTCTGCCCACTGCCCCACACGGCTGACTTTGTACTGATGTAACGTTTATAAATGTGGTGGGGAGGGACCTTGGACCTCCAAGGCCCCGCCAGTGGGATGTCAGCTGTGGCCTGTGCCATCAGATGGGCCAGACTTGGAGGCCAGGCCCAGTGACGGGCTGCGTCTGGCCACTAGACATGGGTCTCATTCTAGGACCATCTAAGGGACTTGGGAAGCCCTGAGAGCTCCTCACCAGCTTTAGGACTGGAACCTGTGATGCTGGTGCATTCAGAAACCTGGCTGGGGTGGGGGGCAGGGAGAAGGGGAGCCAGGATCCCCGCCCCTTGAGGATTTCCAAAGTGAACTCTCTCCTTCTCTCCTCCCCTTCTTTCCTCTTCCTGTCCTCCCCTCCCTTCCTCTCCTCTTCCTCCCTCCCTCCCTCCCTCCCTTCTTTTCTTTTTTCTAACAGATTTCAGCAAAGTCCAGGACTCCTCCAGATGCAACAGCAAAACCACCCTCAATGCATTTGATGAGATGGATGACGTTCCTGAAACCTCAGTGTAATCAGCAGTGGACAGTGTCAGGCCTGGTGTGAAGGGGCTGCAGTCGCCCATGACTCAAGTCCTTGGGAAGATGGTTTTGTCCCATGGGCCAGGACCTGTGGGCTGGCAGATGGCGCTGTCCTTGGGGCCTGTGGGGGTGCCAGTGCATCTGGAGGGAGGGGCCCAGCAGGCCAGGCCTGAGTCTGAGGCTCCACAGGTCTGCCTCCTTATCTGGCTTTGTTCACTGGGTGAGACCCTCTGCCATAGGTCACTTGGTAAAAAGGCCTATGTGAGCCTCTGCCTGTCTGAAGCACAAATCTGGCCTGGCCACCAGGGGCCTGAGCTGAGGTCTGGGCAGATCCAGCATCTCTGGGCACAGTGGAGCCAATGGGGGTGGTGGGGGTCCCAACCTCCTCCCCCATGCTCATGTTGTCCTCCCGGCAGGTGCAGGGCTTGGGCCCCATAAGGCCTGGGGGCCTCCGCCCAACTGTTGACCTGGGGAAGGGGGGATCCCAGGAGTCCCGGGGGGGGCGGTGCTGGGCCACAGTTGTCCCATCCTTGTCTAAGTAGAGTAACCCCATAAGCCAGCAGAGGCAGTCATAGTGAGCTGCATGTTTAATATAAGAGACATTTCAGTTTGGAGTCAGAAGCACTTCATGGAGACCTGGTGGTGAGGAAAGCCCCCAGCTGCAGGTTCCCAGCCTCTGGTTTTGCTGCCACTGGGTCCTACCAGACTTCCCCAGCTCCCACAGCCTGATGCCACTTCCCTAACCTCCTGGGGCCTCTTGGAGCCTTAGAAAGACAAACCCAAAAACTGTCTAAGGAATCCAGCAGGGAGGTGACAGAACCCACCAAGATGCAGGGGCTTCAGGCAGCCACCTTAACAGGGGTGGGGGTGGGGAGAGATTCTGTAATTAATTTCAATTCAGCAGACACTGAGTCCCTGTTGTGTGTATGGCACCACGCTGGGGGGGGGGCTCCTGCCCACAAGAACCTTCACTGCTCTTTCCCTCTGCTGCCTGGGCTCATTTCTTTACTCCCCCCACCCCCCTTTGCCCCAACCTTTACTTAATACTTAGCAGTTAAGCTGTGATATTTTCCCTCCCTCCTGGACCCTCCTCAAAGTGAAGTCACTGCCCAGTGGATGGCTGCAAGGCTCTGCAGACCCATACTGGGCAGCATGCATCCCACCCTTCCCTGGAGAAAGGGCTGAGGGCTTGATGCCAGCAGGGAGGGCCTCTAATCTACTTGTCCAGGGAGACCAGGGGGCTGCCTGCATCCAGGGACAGGTAGCTGATGACCTCGTGTCAGAGCCAGGATGGTGGAACAGGAGACAGTCTCCTGGGGCTGGATAGGGTGTGGCCTTCTGGGATTCCCCAGGGCTGTTCCTACTGACCCAGAGGGCCCCTCCCACCTTTGCAGAGTGTGGGGGGGGGGGTGACTCAGAGCACAGCCCTGATATACCTATAGTGTTGAGGCCAGAGAGAGAAGGGATTGAGTATTTATTCAGTGCTTACTGTATACCAGGCCCTGCTCTAAGCACTTTACAGATGTGCTCTCAGAAGACGCAGCTGGGACATCTGGAGGATGGGTGCTTATGGACTCCCCCCCCCTGCCCTGGCTTTGACCTCACTTTCCAGGGAGGCCTTCCTGCCTGAGGGTGAAGGAGGGCTCCCTGTGTAGACATACTAGGGAGGTGGAGAAGCTGCCACGTTACATACTCTGTAAGGAGCCAATGCCCTCCTTCTGTTTTTGTATTTGTTTTTAATCAACTTTACAGGCACCCCGTGATGTTGCTGGGAGGGGGTGCAAGAGGTGAAGGAGATGTACTGTGAACTGACCTCTTGGAGGGGTGAAAAAGCCAAGTGTTCCCTGTCTCGGGTTGTGGCTATCACTAGCCCCTGGAGCCCAAGGCCGCCAGGTGCTCAGCCCTGAGCCAAGACTGCCTTTCACACTAATCTCAAGGGGCCATTGATTGTTCACCTGACTCTGATGGATATTCCTCAACAACAGAACCCAGAAGGGACGTCTGGGGGTCTCTGTGGACACTCTGAGCTGGCCGTGTCCTGGGGCAATGCCCAGCAAGGGCTGTTTACTTGAATCAGTAACTTGGGTTTATAATAAATATTTATTTTGCCTCGGGATGGTTTGCTTTCCTTTTTCTTTCTTCTCAGACCCCAGGCACATGAAGGCTAAAGGGGAGGGGAGGAAGCCTACTGGGGCTGAGACTGAGGAAGGGACATCTGGAGATATCTGTACATACACACAGCCAGAGAACCAGGGAGTTGGGAAAACACAAGATAGTTCAGGCCTTAAGCAGAGTCTGCTGCCCCTTCCCAGGTGAGGTCCTATCCTGCTCTAAAGGGGCTCCTAAGATGCCTGGGGCTGGGAATGGCCTTCAATGATCAAGCAACCAAAGGCTGGCCCATCTGAGGCCTCATGGACTTAGAGGTGACCTCAGACTCCACTGATGCCTCCCCCCCAAAGCCTCATCCCAGAGCCCCACGGTTAGAGCTCCTGTGTCCCAGGCAGAGGCCGGGCAGCTCCAGGCCTGCTCTAAGGCTTCATAAATAGGTGAAGCAGTCAGTCCTGTCCAAGGTCTTCTCCTGTGCATGAGGCCAGGCACCAGACAGAGTCATTTGGAGGACCATCATGGCGGCTGGCCTAGAGGAGACAGCTCCGTTTGCTCTGTGCTGGTCTGCTAGAGTCTTGCCTGGCTCTTTGACCATGTGGACACAGCCTTACAGGCTCATTCCCAGCATCACCTAAAGAGCATAGCTGCCTCCTTCTCTCCTGGCAGAGGGAAGGCAATTTTAGGGAAGAATGAAGGATGGAAAAAAGGAAAGGTCAGGGTTGAGACCCTGGTGGGAAGGACTGACAAAGTGTTTGTGTGTGTGTGTGTGTGTGTGTGTGTGTGCACATGCCACATGGGCCCCTCCATTCTTTGCTTAGGGAGATAGCAGAGACCGTGGACAGTGGGGGCAAGGGGAGTCTGAGAAGGGAAGGAAAGGCTGAGGCCCAAGGTAGAGCCAGGGCCCAAATGGCCTCCATGTTGGAGGGGAAGGGGAGAGCAAAGTGGTCTGCCTATTTACAATCCTGGTGGTAGGAAAGGGCCCTTTGCAAAGGCTCTCCTCACTGGCCTTGAATTTCACCACATCTGCCATCGGGGCTCCCAGGACGGGGAGGAATGATGGAGCTGGCCCTGGAGCATCTCAGGGAGGCCCAGGGTGAGCCCAGGCTGGCATATGGCAAGTACTGGCCCAGCCTCTATAAGGTCCAGATCCTTGGGGCTCCGCTGGCTCATCCTGGCAAGTCAGTCCAAGAGCAGGTGCTGACAGAATGCCGAGTGGGCAACTGGTCCAGTGGGCCCAGGTGCCACTGCCTCTCACAGCCCAAGTTCAGACTCTGGTTCCTCCCCCTCCTTCAGCCCTCTCCCCCCTTTTTAGCCTCCTGCCCTCTATCAATCAGCCCCTCCCCCTCCTTCAGCCCCCTCCTCTCCTTTAGCCCCTTGCCTTCCCAGGCCTTCAGTTTCCCCTCTCTCTCCTTGACCAGTAGAACTTTAGTTTAGACCATCTCTCTGTCCATCCCTTCCTCCACTACTGTTGAGAGCTGAATTCTGCTCCTTCCCCCCAGACTTCCTAGTTTGGGCGCTGGGGCTGGAGCCCTTCCTCCCACGCAGGCCGGTGGGGCAGATGGACCAGCTGCCTAGACAGGAGTACCTCCCACCCGTGAGCAGCACAGACCACCTGGCCCCCCATGGCAGCCGGAGCCACTCAGTTTGCAGGCTGCTGGCCTCAGGTCTTTCTCTCTCTGGAGCGGACAGGGCATTTCTAGTCTGCCAAGGCCTCCAGCCCACTTTTCTCTGATTGAGTCTGTCTGGATGGAGCCTCTTCCCCACCCCACCCCCCAAAATGGCGCCCTCTGAGAGTGCTGAGCAGGACGAGGGGATAGCCAGGGTCTGGGCTCCCACAGTCGGATCTGTACCCTTCTCTTCCAAGAAAGGACAAGCAGAAAGAGGAGCCTTTTATTAAGGTCTCACGTCTGCTGCCAGCAGACACAGAGGAAGGGGCAGGGAGAGGCCTCAGGTCATCGCCTGGAGTGGGCAAAGCCCTTCCCTTACATTCCCTGCCCCAGGAAACTGAGGTTCAGAGAGGTGGCGTGCCTCGGTCACAATCTGCCAGCTTTTCTCCCTGCAGCAAATGAAGGCGGCGCCTCTTCTCCATGTGAGGCACTGAGCTGGGTGCCGGGGGCACCCAGAGGAATAAGGCACCAGCCTGCCCTCAAGGGGCCTGCCCCCCGGAGCCTCCCACCCCGCCTAGGGAGATGAGGAGTTGAGGCTCCTTGCTGTCAGCGTCACTTTGAGAGTCGTGGCGAAGGCTTCTCCTTTCTCATAGTAGGCGGCCTCATTCACAAACACGGGGTAGACCGTGCTGTCTCCATCAAATGGAATGGTCTTCCCATCCAGCGTGAGAAACACGGGGTCCCCAGGGTTCAGCGGCTTCCAGTCTTGATCCTCTCGGTAAAGAAGGCGGGGGGGGGGGGAAATGAAACAATTAGGCTCCATTTGTCTTCCCTCTAAGACCAGACTCACCAGGAAAAGGAAAGCTGTGGACCCTCCAAGAGGTGGCCCCAACTTGGCCTGGCACCTGGCTCGGAAGTGCCCTTTTCTCAGACGCTGACACTGCCCCTCGGGGTCTTTCATCCCTGGCTTCAGATGGCAGGGAGTTAGAGGATTCTTGGGCCCATTTTACAGACGAAGGAGGTGATTTGGAGTCAGAAGACCCAGTGATGATTTCAGGGACAAGTTCCTAAGCTCCCCTGAGCCTCATCTTCCTCATCTGTAAAATGGGGCAGGGGGTGGACTGGTTCAAGAGCCTTGACCTTACTTACAACCCTACGACTTGCGATCCAAGGTCAGCCAGGGAGCAGGAGTCAGAGTTCAGCTCTCTGCTGATTCTCCTAGGCTTGGCACCATACCACATTCACCCTGGATGCTGGCAAAGGGAGTGAGAATTCTCCCAAGCAGACAGGCTCTGGCCTCATGTGAGTAGGGAGGCCTTTGGACCAGCTTCTTTCAGTTCCCTCTTCTGCAAGAAGGGGAAACTGAGACCCAAAGACAGAAAGGAACTTGCCTGAGGAAGCCAGAGGCCGTGACCGGTGGGACCAGAACCCATGTCTTCTCGCTCTTTGCTGGTGCTGGGATCTTAACCCTCTGTCCCTCTATAACACCCTATCCTATTCTAGCAGCGTCCACTCTGTGCCCCAAGCCAGCAACCTGCTCCCCATGTCCAGGCTAAGAGCTGGGAGGGGCCACATGCTACCCCCTCCTCCTTTCCCCACTCACATCTCCCTGGCTCCAAGCTCCTCCTAAAGGGACCAGGGAGTGCTCCAGGCTTGGGCCTTGCAACGGGGGTCTGAGCACCCTCCTGGCCAAGGTCCTTGGTCTTTTGTGGGCATGCGCTCTGGCTGTCAGCCATCCAGGGTAGACTCAGAGGTGTCCTTAGGAAGACTGCCTCTCAGCCTCGATTGACCCATCCTCCCCCACCCCTGAAGCAGTGGCTGGGAGGTGGAGAGGGGCTGCTGTTCAGAGACTGTGCTGGATTTCAACACGTTTCAACCTTTCCTTGCTCAAAATTCCGACCAGCCTCTGTCTCTGTGTCTCCTTCCCTTCCTCTCCTCCCCTCTCTCTCTCAGCTGGAAATGGCTTGAATAGAGAAGAATGTCAAATTAAATTAAAACAGTTTTCAGGCCTCCTCGGGCCTCAGACCCAGCATGCAGGCTCCAAATTTTCTTCCACACTCACCGTCATTTATTTTGTATTTGTCTCACGGTGACTTCTGTGTACACATGCCCATTGTTTCCCCCAACAGAATGTCAGCTCCTTGGAAGCAGGGGCTGGTCTGATTCTGCCTTGATTTCCCCATTGATTAGAACAGAGCCCAGATGCTACTGGATGGGATATACTTAGCGAAAGGTGGTTGAATTAAAATGCTTTATCAGGGATGGAAGGAGGGATGGACGGACAGAGGGAGTGAAGGATGGATGGATGTAGGGATGGACAGATGGACAGATGGAAGGAAGGTCCCCCCTCTCTGCCCCTCCCCCCACTACCTCTGCCTTGAAGGGGGATGCTGGTAAGTACATGCACAAGCACGGATTCTATGCTAGTGGAGCGAAGGGCCTACAGAAAAGGCCAGATGTATGATTCTGGCTGCTGCTGGGGTCCCCATGTTTCTGGTGCTGAGCTGAGTTTGAATCCTGCCCCAGACACTTAGTAGAAGTCTGCCTCAGTTTCCTCATCTGTAAAATGGGGACAGTAACACCTCCCTCCCAGGGAGGAACCAATGACACAATGTGTGTAAGTGCTTTGTGAAGCTTTAGGTGCTCTCTCAGTGACGATCATTAGGCAGTGAGAGCCCGCCCGCCGGCCCAAAGATGCCAGGCTGCTGGGTCCATGGGCCAGTAGGTGAGCAGCTCTTGGCCCTGAGGACGAGGATTTGGGTGGCTCGCTTATAAACCCGGGGAAGCGAGAGGCAGGCAGGAGGAGAATCTGCCTGGCATGGCTGAGCTGGGAACCCAGAAGATGGGATGAAATGAGGTTCAGAGAAATGCAGAGTCAGACCCTTAGGCCACGCGCTTTACAGAGGAGAAAAGTGGGAGTGAGAGGGAAGTAACCTCCGGGGTCCTGGGGTGAGTCGAGAAACACACCTCTGCTGACTCCCCATGTGGCACTGGAGACAGGGAAACATTTTGGGAAAAGAACACCGAGCGCCCACAATCAAAAGGCAGCTCTTCCTTTTCAGCCTTAGAAGAGCCCAGACACAGGCAGCCTGAAGCAGGCCCCTCTGGCTGCTGCCCGCTCCTACGCTCCTACTGTGGGCCCCAAAGCCAGCCCAGGGCCCAGGCAGGACCAGCCCAGGGCTGGGCAGGAGCAATTGGAGCAAACTTTACCTGCAGGCTGGGGTGGATCACAGCAGCAATCTCCCCATTCTCCTTACGAGGATAGTCAACTTTCTCCATGACCCGGTAAACCTCCAGTGAACAGGCAGGGAATTCTCTTCCTAGAAATGGACACGACAGGCAGAAAAAAGGCATGTCAACCGGATCTCAAGTCTCCTGGAGCAGGTGCATGTCCCCAGCTCCCCCCCAGGGAGCGGGTGCGCGTGTCCTCAAGGCTCAGGCCTGGCCTCCACTGTCCACATCTGGGGATCCACCCAAGTGGCCTCCAAGGTCCCAGTCCAGAGAGGTCACTGGGCATGGCTCTAGAGGCCTGAGGGGGAGGACAGGGAGTTCTGCTTAATACAGAACCCAACCCTGCTGGGGAAGGGGCTGAAGTTTTGTTTTCCAAGCATCTTAGAGCACCACAGGGTCATAGAAAGCACCTTCAAGGCCATCTAACTCTACCCCTTTATTTTAGCAAAGCCCCACCTCGGGGAGGGGGAGGGCTGATTTACTCAGGTCACACAGGAAGCAAGTGGCAGGGGTGGGCTTTGGGCCCTAGGATCAAATTCAAGGTCACAGGACAACAGATTGAGGCCCATTTAGTACCACACCTTCATTTTGCCAGAGAGGAAACTGAAACCTAAGAACAGATGGGTGACTGGCCTAAAGTCACACAAGGGAGTTAACTAGCAGAGGCAGAATTCAAAGCCCAAACCCCAAGCCCTCCCACTGCCTTGCCCTCCCTCCATACTGCTGAAATCTGGCCTCAATACTGAACACACTGCAAAAACAACTCTCTGCAAGGTCGCCAATGATCTGTCTCTTCTCATTCCTCATACTCCTTGACTTTTCCATGCGCACCATATCTCCCACATCTGCCCCCTCCTCTCCAACCATACCCCAACTGCCTTAATTTGGTCACCCACATTCCTGTCTTTTTATTTTTATGACATGTTCTTTGGTCCACGAATACTTTAGAATTAAATTACTTAGACTCCATTTTAGTTTGAATCTTTTCTTCAAAAGCCCTTTATTGATTGTAATTTTTCTTGTGTTGTGGTGAGAAAAGAATGTGTTTAATATTTCTGTTTTTCTGCATTTATTTATGAAGCTTTCTTTATACCCTAGGAGGTAGTGAATTTTTGTAAAGTTGTTATTCACAGCCAAAATATGTATATTCCTTCCTACTCCCCTTTAGTATTCCATTACTTAAATTTTTTCTTATTTTATCTTTTTGTTAACTTTTTCTGGCTCTGAATGGGGTATATGGAGGTCTCCAGCCCTTAGGGTTTTCTGGTCCATTCCTCTCTATAATTCAACTAGCTTTTCTTTTGAGTACTTAGATGCTATAACACTTGGTGCATATGTAGTAAGCGTTGATACTATTTCATTACCTATGATGCCATTAAATATAATGTAATTTTCTTAATTATCTTTTTTAAAAAACTATGTCTATTTTATTGCTGCCTTGTCTGATAACATGATTAATACCTGTTTTAAATTCATCTAAGAGAATAACAAATTCTTAGAAACTGTGGGGATACCCATCAATTAGGGAATGGCTGAACAAGTTGTAATGTCCAATTGTGATGTGAATACTATTGTGCTATAAGAAATGATGAGCAGGATGCTCTCAGAAAAACCTGGAAAGACTTGCATGGGCTGATGTAAAGTGAAATGTACTGTGTACAAAGTAACAGCAGTATTGTGAGACGATCAGCTGCGAATGACTTAGCTGTTCTCAGCAATGCAATGATCCAAGACAACTCTGTAGGATGAAAAATACTACACGTCCCCAGACAAAGAACTGACGGTGTCTGAACGCAGATTGAAGCAGACTTTTTTCCTTGAGGTTTTTTTTTTTGTCTGTTTTCTTTTACAACATGACTATTACGGATATGTTTTGCATGGCTACACGAATATAACCTATATCAAATTGCTTCCTTCTCAATGAAGGTGGGGTGGGGAGGGAGGAGGGGAGAGAATTTGGAAGTCAAAGTTTTAAAAACAAATGTTAAAAATTGTTTTTACATGTAACTGGGGGGAAATAAAATACTAAATAAATAATTTTTTAAAAAGAAAAAAAGGGAATAATAAATTCTACTGTAGCCTCTCATTTTAACTGTGTGAATCTTTATGTTTCAAATGTGTTTCTTATAAACAACACATTGATCAATTCTGCCCTCTAATCCCTTCTGTCTTACGGATGAATTTATCCCACTGACATTCATCAATTGACCGTAAATAGTACATTTTCCTTTCATTATAATTTCTTATGCTTTCTCCTCAATTTGGAAAGGAATCTGATGCACACCAACAATCTAAAATCAAAGTGATTCATTCCTCCTCCACTGTCCCTTCTCTCGTCTCCAAGCCCACAGCCTGATGTCTGGTTCTGACACTTTCTTTCAGATTCCCACTTTATGATCAACTTCAGCGGTGTCCCAGCATCTCCCCACTCCAGTCCATCGTCCACTCAGCTATCAAATCACCCTTCCCAAAGCACAGACCTGAACCCCCACCCCCATTTAATAAACTCCAATGTCTCCCCGTCACCTCCAGGATTAAATATCAAATTCTCTGCTCAGCGCGTAGCTAGCCCTCTCTGCCCTTTCCTGCCTCCTCCCATCTGACTTGACACTGTCTACGCTGTCTGAGGACGGCGACACTGGCCTCCCTCCTGCGCCTCACATGAGACCCTCCATCTGGTCCGGCTGTTTCTCATGCCTGGAAGACCCTCCTCATTTCCATCTCCTGCTCCCTTCAGGGGCCAGCTGAAATCCCACCTCTGAGAAGCCCTTCCCGCGCTCCTTCATAACGCTCGCCCCCGCCTTCTGGGGCGGATCCCCAGGCCACTCTGTCTCTGGCTTGTCTTCTCCTCCATTCAACTGTGAACTCCTGGAGGCCAAGGTCCAGCTCTTGCCTTTCTTTGTGTCCCCGCGCTCATGTGCCTGGCCCATAGTAGGTGCTTCATAAATTCTAGTGGACTGACTAGTTGGTCATAACTTTCAGGAAGTTCTCTCTTTTTGACCTGTTTCCTGGGGCATCGTTCTTGGTACTGGAAACCTTACATTTCCTTCTATTTTTTTTTCTGATCTTTTGACTTTCCCTGAAAGTCGACTCATGGGGTCATGAGCCCTGGAGGCTCCACTCCAGATTTTAGGGGGTCGACTTCTCGGGCTAGGTTTTCCCACCTTGTCCTAAGCACTCTCTCTTCCGCCAAACTCTCAATGCCTCTCCAAGCTCTCGCTTCTTTTCTTCCACTCTTCTAGCCCTCGTGGCCACTTTTTCAAGCCCAAGGCATGGCTGGCGGTGAGGCTGGCTTCGGTGTTTCCTCTGGCAGCTCGGGCAGATGGTTCTCTGCCCCTGGCACCACTGGTGTCTTGCCCCCGCAGGGGCTGGACGTTCTCTGTGGGCTCGCAGCAGAGAGCCACCTTCCCACGGCATGACCTCTAGGGAAAGCGGCCCACCCGTCCTTCAGTCTCTAAGAGCCTGCAGCCCAGAACTCTTCAGGCCTCCCTGCCTCTGGAGTGCTCTGTGTCTCTCGATGGTTCCCCAAAGTGGTTATGGAGCCCCCCTTGTGCCTTTGGGGGCTAAGCCTGGAGACTGGGGAGCGCCGCAGCATTCTGTCTGTCCCCCGGTCTTCCCACTGGGAGTTTCTGCCACCCCGAGAGGTGGCTGTGGTCAGCCTCAGGTGGCACCTGCCACATGTCGAAGCCAGCTCGTCTTTGCACATACACGCACGCATGCATACATGTACACACATATGTGTGTGCACACACATGTGCGCTCGTACACACACGCGCGTGCACACATACACAGACACACACACACCTTTGACCAAAAGACCACAGCCCCACAGCGGCTCGTTCTGGGCAATGAGGAGTCTTCCCCAGACTCTCTGAGGGGTGTGGACATCTTTGAGAGGTCATGCGGTCTGTCATTTCCACAGACCAGGAAGCTGAGGGCCCCGAGATGAGAAGGGCCTCGTTAAGGCTGCCTGGACCTTCTGGCCCTCATTCCTCTCCCACACTAAGCCAGGCTCTGCTGGCTCCAACCCCAGGAGGGGAAGGGGAGATCTCTGGGAGCTGCACACACAAGAGGAGAGAGGAGGAAAAACAAACAAGCAGAGGAGATCTGAAGCAGGGGACACAACCTATGGTCCAGGGACTCAGACGCCCTTGGGCTCAGAACCTTTCCCAGCACCCCTGGGGGCCAGCCCAAGACTTGGCCTCTTCCTCTCCAGGGGTTTTCCCCTACAATTGACCCCTTTGGCTTCCCATTGCAGGTCTGGACAGGAAGCCCCCTGGGAAGGGCCTTGAGCGCCCCGCTGGGGAGGGGCGGGCATCTATCCTGGCCCAGGTGGACTCCCCCAGATGAAGGAGAGCTTCAGCCACACCCCAGCAGAGGAAGCCCAGTTCACTCTACCAGCTTCCAGGGCAAGCCAGCTCCTTACCTTAGATACACCCTCAGGCTGGACCATGACTTACCCTCATTGAAATACTGGATGAAATCCAGGGCATGCCCTACTATCCTCCTCATCTGATCAAGAATATCTGCTCTGAGAACCCCCTGAGGCTGGGGACCGACCTCTACACCTGTGGAGACAAGGCCCAGAGGAAGCCTGTGACTTAAGAGCTCCCCACTGCCCGTGTGTCCTCCCAGGGGTCAGGGGCCAGACCAGCAGATCTCGGAGGCCCCGGGTGAGGCTCTGTGATTCTAGCCACTGTCTCCTGCCCAGGCCTCTCTGCCTCCTCACAAGCTCCCTCTTCTGCCTGTCATCCTCCTTCCTTAATCTCCTCTCTCACGTGTGATTTCATCATCCTTTTCTTGTATTTTCCTCTTTGTTTGGTAGATGTAGGCGACCACATCTGGGTGGGCTGATGCATGCATGCCTACAGATGACCAGCCCGCACCTGACCTCAGGGCTGCATAAGCATGTGCAATATCTGCACAAGGCAGGTTGCCCGTCCATGTGTGTTGGCACAGGCTTCCCCCGAGACTGCCAGAGGCTGTGCCCAGGGGCACCCATTGGCTCCTTTCTCTCCCTCTCTCCTGCGTGGGTCCTGGTCCTAGCTGCTCCCCAGGATGGACAAATAGCTCTCTGACATCCCAGCCCCGAGATGTGGGCAGGACATAGGGCCAGAATCTAGCTTGGACCCTACGAATGGGTGCATGGAGTAGGGGAGTGGGCAGGGGAGCCAGGCTTAATGTGCTTTGGGACAAGCAGTCCGGTAGTTAAGTAGGGAGGTAAGCTCATGGACGCTAAGAGGTTCTCCTCTGAGCTGCACCGTTCAGTGAGTATGGATTTGCTGGGGTTCTTCTCCCAGACGTGGGCTGAAGATGGGGAGGGGGAGGGGAACAGAATGCATGGGGGAGGGGGGAGCAGTGGTGAAGCTCTCTGCCTCTGTATGAACTGCCCAGCTGGGGGATCCCGCCCGAGACTCAATCCACGAGGCTCTCTGGAGGGCGGACCTTCCTCGGTGCCACGCACAGAGACTTCTAACCCCGTGGCTGAGAGCCCCCTGCCCCCAGCCCATTCGTGGCAGACACTGTGTGCGCCAATTCCTTCCAATCCAGTCGGATTGCAGTGCTCCAATCTCACCAATTTCCCCTGAACAGCTGACCATCCTCACAGGACAGCGCCCCAGGGGCTGGTTCACAAGTGAACTATTTAAAAGGACAAGACCCAAACACAGGCCTAGTCTGAAGAATGTGGACGTGACTTTGAGGAGTCCAAAGGGCAGGGCACAGAAGACGAGCCTCCGGCCACTGGCTGGTTCCGAGGTGGTAGCCCGACCCCTCTGCAGAGCCTGCCTGTCCTCTGGGTCTGGACCACGAGTAGAACAGTGTCCACCCCAGGGTAAACAGAAAAGCCCACAACTGAGGGCAGCCTCGAGACAGCCACGGCAGACTCAAGGGTCCCCAGAACAGTTCATCCCCCTTCCCCCAAGCTTGGGCCTCCTGCTCAGGGCAGGGGATCTGGCACAGGATTCTTTCATTCCTTGGTCCTGAAGCCACAAATGAGTGCATTCAGTGACAACACAAAAGAAATGGTGGCAACTTACCCACGGGATGCTTGGCCACAGAGCGTGTGGTGGCGTACTTCAGAGAAGGGCGGTCGATGAGATACACAAAGCAGGGCCGTGGAGCCAGGCAACTCTGCAAAGAAGGCATGGAGAGCGTGACGCACCAGCACCACAGAAGCCACGCGGATGGAACAGGACAGACTGGCGCCCACAGGCCACGGGAGCATGCCTCAATGGGACCGACCACAAAGTATGTTAGAAAGATGGGACCCCACGGAAGCCACGCCTGAAAGGTGGCGGATGGGCCATGAGCATGAGCGTGTGCTTCCTGGCCCCAGCATCCAGGGAACGTCCTTGGCCCCGTCCAATGGCTCAACCGCAGACGCTGCTAGGACTATCAGTGGAAGTACCATCTGCTTTGCTGCTCTCCCCTAAGGACCAGGGACTTTTCCATCAGTCTGGTAGATGAAACCTTCCCTCTGCTCCTCCATTAGACCATGAGCTTCTTCTGTCTGTGTCCTCAGTGATGGGCACACAGTATCTATAAATCATTCATTCATTCATTCACTCACCTTAAACTCAACACGTCCAGAACAGAACTCATTATCTTTCCCCCCCCACCCCCCCCCGCCCCCCCCCCCCCTAGCCCCACCCTCCCAGGCCCTCAGGCGCCCAAACCTAGGCCTCATCCTGTGCTCCTCAGCCTTTCTCACCCCCCCCCAGATCCAACATGGCGCCAAGGCTTGTCGATTTCATCTGTGGAATTCACCTCCTGGCCTCTGAACCTGCCCCCACCCTGGTACAGGCCTTCATCTCCTCACACCTGACCACTGATCGCAATAGCTGCCTGCCCATTCCAAGTCTCTCATCTCTCCCCTCCAAGTCCATCCTCCATTCTGCCCCCAGAGGGATTTCCCTAAAGCTCAGGTCTGACCACGATACCCCCCCATCAATAAACTTCAGTGGTTCCCTATGGCCTCCAGGAACAAATATAAAACCCCTTTGGTTTTCAAAGCCCTTTGTAACCTGGCCCCCTCCTCCCTCCCCAGCCTTCTTCCACCTGGCTCTCCCACATGTACACTTTGATTCAGCTGACTGGCCCCCTGGCTGTTCCCTCCACAACACTCTTTATCTCTCGGCTCTGGGCATTTTCTCTGTCCATCCTCCCTCCTCCACTTGGCCTCCTGACTTCCCAGCTACAATCCCATCTTCTACAGGGAGCCTTCCCCTAACCCTGCTCCATTCCAGGGCCTTTCCTCTGTAGCTGTTTGTTGTCTCTCCTGTTGGATTGTAAGCCCCTCATGGGCAGGGACTGGCTTTTGCCTTTCTTTGTATCCATATGTACAGAAGAGTGCCTAGAACATAGTAGGTGCTTAATAAATACTGGCTTATTCTATAGGGTGGGTGGGGCCCAGAGGAACTCAGGCTGTGCCCCCTGGGAGGTAAGGAGGGGGCTCCCCTCTCCTTCCAAGTGGGAGAGGGATTCTGGGTTCCACTGCAGAGGGGTTCACGTTCAGCCAGAAAAGGGGCAGGGAACAGGGAGAAAAGGGCTCCTGCGGACTGTGGTCCCCCCCTCACCGGCCTGGGTCAGGAGCACAGGCTTCCTGGGCTTCCCCCTGGCCTCCCCAGCTCCCAGCTTCTAGCCACTTGGATGAGCCAACCCTGCAGACCCCACCTCCCTCTCCTGACCCCAACTTCTCCCTGCAGGTTGTCTCTTACAGTGGGACTCACACGTGGATGTCACCATAGACATTACTAACCCAAACCTCCCATGTTGTAGGCAGTAGGCCACCCTCCTTCTCAGTTCTCTGTCTGCAGATGTTCTCAGTCACTGGTGCCGGTCAAGTTCAGAACAACAACAAAATGCGCTTCCTATGAGGTGTGGCAGCTCTGAGCCGCAGGGACTGGTTCTGGCCTCTCCATTCTCAGCCCTGAGTGCTGGGCACTGTACAGCAGCGCTCCGCCAGGTTTGCCCGACCATTCGTGCCCAGGAGACCTCACGGGGTGCAGTGTGAGGGGGTGTTGGCCCAGGGGAGCCACCCCCTTACCAAAACAAGGGGCCCCTCCTGCGGGGCGAGGTAGGAGTGGCAAGGGTGACCCTGGGATCACCAGCACCGAAGCAGACTCAGAATAGGAAGGTAAGCAGGTACAAGGCACTCCCCGCCCCAGG